CTCATGGAAAAATTGTGAAAAGCTAATTGATCAAAAACAATGTGGAAAAAATCGCTGAATTAAAATGGTATTTGTCCATAATGTGCCACTAAAAAGATACACGGGATTTGCTGCTTAACCTGATACGCTTGACAATTGAAAATGCTATCATTAGAAAGAGCATTCAATTCTCTCCAAGATCCAATCATCACGTTTGCATGACAAGCAACAGTATTCTTTAAAATATAAATGTTTTAAACCTCTGCAAAACGATTTTTAACGAAAATTATCTACGCCTTTCATTTGTCTTAAAACTACGCACCTCAATTATAAAGCACATTTGACAGATTCTGAAGTGGAAAGCATGCTTATCAGACACGGGCACCTCGATCCGATGGATATTTTTTTCCAAACCAAAACGTTTAGCCATCAAAAAGCAATCGACCGAAATGGATAGATAACCCAACCGACACAAGAACAACCGAACACCCGCCGATCGAAAATATCCCTTTTCGCGTTGCGGAGCACGCGGGTCACCCTAGTGAATGCCTCTATTTACGACACAATGGTCACAGTCGTCCGGGCCGGCTAAACACCTGCATCGACGCAGAGCAGCATACCCCTGACGTCGTCAAGCATGCATACGTGGCCCGCATGGCGTCATGGGGGCGTCTTCAGGTGACCGAGGTTCGATACCAATACTGGAGAAAGTCCCAGAGGAAACTGCTCCATATCCACCGGCTAGCAACGACCAAACACACCAAAACAAGGCAGACCACCAGCAGCGAATATTCAAAGGCATGGCGAATTACACAACGAATTAACACCGTACCTGTGGTGTAGTCGCATTTTCTTTGCCCACAAGGAAATGGCATAGTGCCATAAATTGTATAGCGCACAAAAAGCCACGAACAGCCGAGGATTATTTCTAGTTCTCGGAAGCGTTTATACATACACCTCAAACCACCACATTTTTTTTACATTGCACGGCAGTTGTTCACATATAATTATCTGCCAATCATAACAGAGCTGTATGCTAAACAGACTTGTCCCAAGCACCTAAGGCACAATGTAACTAACTCACTGGAGCAATAAAAGACGATTCAATTTTGTTAAGTACCGAGTGTTCTTTGACACAGACAGGCGTACCCTGCAGCACACTAGACGAGGAAGTTGTCGAGGCATAGTTACGAGACGATAACGTTGCTCTTCAACTTTGCGTGCATTATGCAGACATGCGGCATAGGACAACGGACAGTTGGCCGGGCGATAATTATTTGCAAAATAAGTTCGATACCGATATAGAACATCTATGCCGGTGGGTTCGGCTCCTTCAATATTTCCAGGGACCCAAAGGAGGGACCCAGACCAAAAGTGACTGGTGGGCACAAACTGACAAACTGACTAGGTCAGACTATCGCAAATACCTATACAGCTCGTGATGAGGGGGAATTGAAGACAGTGAATTCCAGAAACATCGCCAACACCAACAGCATACCGTGGCCAAGGCAGAAGATGCGAGGAACATCCCGTCCCATCCACCACTTTTATTATTCCCCCTCTAATGTTCATGTTCTCGGACATCACAAATGTGTTATATTGACACACCACACCTGGCCTGCAAGGCGCGAGTGGGACGGGTGGTACAGGGGGTTCGAGTCATCGTCGATCGTTAGACCAATCGGCGAAGCGCGCCGCGCTGCAACGAACGATCTGGCGACCGGCAAACTTAGTCGGTCACTAGACGCACGCCTCCTTCGTCCTAGAGGGCTGTTCACACTGCACAGCCAGTGGGCTGTATCGACAGCCAGTCTCTGGACGGATCTTTCGAGCCAGTAGGCTGTATCGACAGCCAGTCTCTGGACGGATCTTTCGAGCCAGTAGGCTGTATCGACTGTCAGTCTCTGGACGGATCTTTCGTCACACCGGCCACGAATTCGGCCCGTTTGGATAATGGATAATGAGTTCCGAATGCAATAGCTGCCAAAGCCGGAGTAGTTTGTTGGCACGGCGCTACCAATACGTGAAAAAATTACATCAAAGATAACTAACGCCTCAGGTACCCTACGCAGCGCGGAGACAAACAAATCGGGACACGACCCCATTCTCCCAGTGCAACCACACCCCACTCAGTGGGTCAGTGGTGAGCACTGACCAGCCCGTGTCGTTTAACCCGACCGTGACACGTCACGCGCCCCGAGGGTGTCACAGGTCACGTGCGGCGCGTGACAGGACCACCGGCGGGCCGACTGAGCCCCGCACGCGCACCGCCGCTGCACGGGGTGCCGGTACGTCCGACACGCACCTGTCACACGCTGACAGTGGCGCGGACCAATGAACCGACGACGGACGGCGCGACGGACGGACGGTATAAAAAGGGAAGGAACGCTGCGGCAGTGTTCTGATCTAACAATGTCGTAAATGGATGCGTAAGGTTAAGTTAGGTAAGTGGATGTGTCCCGAGGTACACTCGGGGGCAGATTGATGTTCCACAACTCTTTATCCACCGGGTTCCTATGGCTCAGCATTGGCAGCAGCCGCCTGATACCGGTAGACTGTGCCGCTTCACTTACTTGTCAAGCGGCACAGCCTACCCACACCGTATGACACCGGTCTGGGTCGGTGGCTGGAAGGCGATGTGGGCCGCCTGTGACGTCAGCGCAGCGGTGAGGGCCGAGCCCGGAGGCATGGCTCGGGTCGGCGCGGCGCGGCGGCTGGCGAGGGCTGGGGAGTGAGGTGGGATGGGAGCACGGACATCGCGCGGCTGAGCGAGTGTAGTTAACTTTCGCGTCTCAAGGCGCCAATTATTCTACCTAACAATTGTGCTAAAGCAGTTGTTAAAATGTCCTATCCCCAAGACAGCGCCTATCATCATACTTGCCATGCACATTACGACACACTTAAGCGTGGCAATGGGACAGCCGATATAGTTAACTTATGTCACTCGTGCATCGAGGTGCGGAGCTATATTTTGTATAACATATTAGTATTAAGGCCTTGATTGAGCAGATTGGTGTCTATTGTTTCGCACGGCAATCGTCCAGAGACGTGGGAACTGGGGGTTATGAGTAGTGCCGCAGCCAACGCTCTAATTTAAAGCGATTATTACTGTTGCTCTAATATATGGTCGCAGCCTCCAATAGCAAACCGTTCCAACTAGGAGCCAAAAACTCGGCCACTCAGGGGGGTTCGAACCGGGCTTCTCCCACCGGCCAACTCACGACACGAGCGTTCATCCACTGAGCTACCGAGAATGGTCCTAGTCCGCACAAAACAAAATGACATTCACCCGCTGACCGCCAATGACAGTATTGTGACATTTAATCGCGTTTGACCGCGGCGGGTGGTCGCTGGTTTCGACAGCTCTGTGGATACACGCTAGCGTCGTGGGGTGACCGGTTGGAGAAACCCGGTTCGAACCGTCCCAGGTGCGCGACTTATTTGTTCCTAGATGGAACGGTTTGCTATTGGTGGCTGCGACCACACATTAGAGGAACAGTAAGAGTTGCTTAAAGTTGGGACGCCGCGCCATCCAAAAACCCCAGTTCCCACGTCTCTGGAGGACGATTGCTGTGCGAAATAATAGACACCAATGAGCTCAATCAAGGCCTTAATACTTATCTGTTAAAAACAATGTAGCTCCGCAACTCGATGCACGTGTGATATAAATTCTATCGGCTGTCCCAATGCCACGTTTAAGTGTGTCGTAATGTGCATGGCAAGTGTGATGATAGGCGCTGTCTTGGGGATAGGACATTTTAACAACTGCTTTAGCACAATTGTTAGGTAGAAAAATTGGCGCCCTGAGACGCGAAAGTTAACTACACTCGCTCAGCCGCGCGATATGGTCCGTGCTCCCACCCCACCTCACTCCCCAGCCCTAGCCAGCCGCCGCGCCGCACCGACCCGAGCCATGCCTCCGGGCTCGGCCCTCACCGCTGCGCTGACGTCACAGGCGGCCCACATCGCCTTCCAGCCACCGACCCAGACCGGTGTCATACGGTGTGGGTAGGCTGTGCCGCTTGACAAGTAAGTGAAGCGGCACAGTCTACCGGTACCAGGCGGCTGCTGCCAATGCTGAGCCATAGGAACCCGGTGGATAAAGAGTTGTGGAACATCAATCTGCCCCCGAGTGTACCATCTCGCCGGTTCTATCCCAGCTCGAGTCACCCCTAAAGCCGTCACAGAGGAGCAAATTGTAACACCACTTGAATCCAGCGGAACATTTGTAAGCGGTGTGATTTGTGAGCACAATCTAAAAAAAATCGGTGCTTTTAGATCAATCGGAATGGCTAGCACAAATATAAACGTTAATCGTTAATCTACAGTACATACGTAGTATCCGCAACAAGGCAACATTCTCATAACCTCATGGTTTAATTAGCTTTTTTTATCGAGTAAACACTAGCATGACAGGATTGGAATGTCAAGCTTGTCGTTTTGAAAGACGTATTGTACACAACAATTTTTGAAAACCACCGCCAGTGCCGTGGCCCTCTTCAAACACACTCAGGCGGGGGAGGGGGGGGGGGGAGGGAAATTACGGTTCCGTCTACGTTAACTTCTGGAGCGTTCCATAGCCAATCAAGTAATTGCTCAAGTTCCTTAGTAAATCAACTAATTGCTCAAGTTCCTTAGCCAATTAACTAATTGGCAATCAATATCCAATCAATAATCGTACAAGCTTCAACGCGAATCTATTCACTGATTTAGATTCACATAAAATTCATTGGTAGAAAAATATCCACGCCTTGCAACTAACAACTCTATCATGGTCACTGCACTGCAGTCGGCCGGATATATCCTGGTTAGATAGTTGACATTTCCATCCCCTCGTCTCCCGGGCGGATGGCGGTTACCAGACCCTCTTGCGCGGGGGGAGGGTGAAGGCACGGAGAGGGCTCTGCAGTCTGCATGCACTACCGGCCTATCGGCGCGTCCCCACTGGTCTAGTGCTCTAGGCGGGGGGGGGGGGGGGGGGGCAGAGGCGGGGCAGAGGCGGGGGCGGGTCCGGGGGGCTCAGTGACCGGCCGGTGTCGCCGGCTGCCCCACAATCAAGTAGTCGGTCGGTCGGCGGCGGCGGCGGCGGTGACGACGGGCGGGCGGTGAGGGCGGGCGCTCACCTGCGTTCACGTGCAGTTTGACATCGGTGACCTCCACCTGAAGGCGCGTGTCGCCGGCCGGTGTCAGGCCTCCCATCACTGACACGGCAAACGGACTGACGATCTGTCGGGCACACGGAAACGTCCGTCAGCCCGGCCCGGATCGGCTCAGTGCGGCCCAGCTCGAAACAGTATCCGATTCAGCTCAGCCAAAGCCAGACCGACTCAGCCCTTCTAGACCCACATCAGCTCCGCTAAGCTCAGCCCGACAGAGCCCGGGACGACTCGTCCCAGCTCAACTCGGGACGACTCGTCCCAGCTCGACTCAGGACGTCTCGTCCCAGCTCGTCCCCCGGAGCAGCAAACGCCGGCCGCTATGGCGACACTAAGCGCGGTGAGAATATGCTCAGAGGTGGGCGTTGGTGGTAATTGGGGAACACCAAATACCAAAAAACGCGTTGGTAAGATAGTTGGGTTTGTTCAGGGGAACTGGGAAGTGGGAAGTGAACGGTGGCACCTATACCACACTTCAAGCGATTCTCGTAAAACTGATTTCGAAATGTCATCAACAGATCCAACGATTCTGATAAAATTGGTTTCGAAATGTCACCAACAGATTAAACGATTAAAGTAAAATAGATTTCGCATAAGATTTGTAAAGTGGCTGCAGTACAACTTGTCCGCAAAAACATCTTTTTCAACAGCCTTTTCCCCCTTTGGTGGCCAAACCGTTGATCTAAAGTCAAATTTGTTAACGAGCTGAGGACATAACAAAAATGCTATCGCATGTTTTCCCGTGATACTGTAGCCCATTACACCACGAATTATATGCTATTTTTGTCAAAGAACGCCAAAATCGAGAAAAGTTGGCCTTTGCTGACCTCTGAATCAGAACACTGACCTAATCAGCTGAGGAAAGGTTGACAAAAGTTAGCAGAACATTAGCAAAATTATCAGAAAAATAACAGAACGGTAGAACACTTCATTCTCAGTGATTTTCGACGACCTCTCGTTTTACCGCTTTTCGCCACGCATGGCTCAGGAGCCGTGGAAGGGGAATTAGGGCATTATACCAAGATACCCGCCAAGTCCCTATATTACAATCGGATCACGACCACGGCATACCGTGAATTACACACTTCTTTATTCGCCAGCATCAGCAACAGAATTAGGTATGTTTCACAGACCGGGATGTCGAAGATGTAAAACAATGACCCTCACTATGGTTTTCATCCTTTACATATTATGACCACCAATCGGTGTCAATGGAACCACGTGCTACATGCCATATTAAGGGGTTCCGTCGTGTACATTGCTCTGGGAAGAGTGTCAACTTCGTCCGCTATCTAAAAGCATTTGATTTGACCTGATAGCTCGAGTTCAGGTCAATCTCTTCAGATATTTGTGCTGTGCAAATAACTGATCAGCCGCATCAGGCGGAGCAAAACCTACTCGAGGGCAGCGCTTTTCGAGGAGCGCTGTGGCCCGAAGGTTTGGACTTTGAATTGTGAAAAACGCCCGCCCGCCGGAAAACGCAAACACCGCAAAACGCGCAAAACGCACGCCCGAAACGCCAACGCAAACGTCGCAAAAAAATAAACAAACGCCCGCCCGCCGCAAACCGCAAATAAAAAACGCAAAAACGCCGCAAAACAATAAAACCGCCCGCCAACCGCAAACAAATTTAACACCGCAAACGACGCAAAAAAAGAAGAAAACCGCCCGCATCGCCCGCCCGCCCGCCCGCCCGCCGCCAAAGACAAACACCGCAAAAAACACAAAACGCCCGCCCGCCGCAAAACGTAAACACCGCAAAACGTGTAAAACGCACGCCCGAAAAGCCAACGCAAACGGCAAAAAATCACCCGACCGCCGCAAACCACACAGAAAAAAAAACGCCGAAACGCCGAAAAAAATAAAACCGCCCGCACCGCACCGACGCTAACTGCTAGCCGAAAACGACTAAAAGTCGCCCGCCAGCCGCCAAACGCAAACACCGCAAATAAGCGCCCGGCCGCAGCAAGATAATAATTTATCAGCGGCTGGCATACCGCTAGGCTGGTCATTTTCACAAATCAAAAAGATATCTGCAAAAATATCCTAGATGAAAGCGCCCGATTAAAAAACGGATGGCACGTGCGTGTTCCTCGCCCCCAACTTCCTTCAGGTCAATCGTCATTTGGGTCATCTAACGCATTGACGACCGGCTGGGTGGAATGAACATTGCGCCAAGAAACGTAAGTATATTGTCAAAAAGAATCCCCAGAGTGGTGGATCCCAAAAGTTTGAAACTACCACTTTGGCCCACTGGACGACACCTTAAACAGTTGCCGACCGGATGACACCCATTGTTTGGTCACCCACGCCATAGTATGCATCATGGGTGCGCCGAAATGACCAAAAGTCCCAATTTCCGGTGTGCAGGGTCATTTTCAACGGCACGTGGCACGTGGTTCTGGACTTTTCCGGCCACTTTGCGACATACCCATGGGTAGTGCACCGAATGGTGGTTGATCTGCATGTAAGAAAATGGGGGGTCGTTTGGATCGTTTTCGAGCAATCTGCCGTGGAACGCATTTTTTCATTTTCCCCATTGGCTTAACACGGGAATTTTTAAAGTCACGTGGCACGTGCACCAGATGGTCCGCGGAGGGGAGACCCATACCAGAACGTAGATCACCTGGCCCACTAGAAATCCTGAAAAAATCAGAATTTTTAGACCAGCCGTTTTCAAGAGCATCAAGTTGTACTGATCTCAGGCAGCTTTTGCCAAATTGTCAGGGAACTCAGATTTGTTTTTCAATAGAAAAACACAATTCTAAAGAATAGTGTTTTAACTATTGACAACAAACCTTCGGTTACAGCTATCATACACAGCCATGCCACGTGCTAAGTCATAACCCAAATGCAAGAATGTGGGTTCATGTTGAATGAAAGTCACGCGTAAGTCGCTGAAACTAGAAAGAAACGGGTTTTGGGATTTGGTGTCGCCTGTCGGCGGAACAGGCTGGGGTGTCGGCTGGTTCACTGCGGCTGTCACCTCCGGCCGGCCCTGCAGATAAGCTGCTGTGCAGTGTCCCGGCAAAACTGCAGTACTTCATATCAGCCGCTCTGGGACTGACTGCCATGAGTTCATGATATAGAGAGGAGAGATGGGAGAGGAAAGGAGAGGATAGTGGAGAGAGAGAGAGAGAGGAGAGAGAGGAGAGAGAGAGAGAGAGAGAGAGAGAGAGAGAGAGAGAGAGAGAGAGAGAGAGAGAGAGAGAGAGAGAGAGAGAGAGAGAGAGAGAGAGAGAGAGAGAGAGAGAGAGAGAGAGAGAGAGAAAGAGAGAGGCAGAACACAAAGTATATTCTGAGACAAACTATCAAACTTATTCATCATGTAGCACAACAGCTCGGCGATTACACAGAGCAGCTTCCTCCAAGAAGTAGAGAACTTCTTGCCTTCTAAAAAATTCAAAGGAGAAAAATCAAAAATATCTTGCTATACAAGACGTACGAGGAACCAAGTGTCCACCACTGGCCCCATGAGCCCCTCATCCGCCGCCCGCCAATCGGTTCTGAGTAAATACCTCCCACTGTCCGAGCTCCCCGCTCACAGCCCGGCGGCTGTTTCCATCGCGCAGTCCTTAGTTACACAAGCACTCGACGCGGCTGTATGATAGGCCATGGCCAGCAAGCCAGCGCCGCTGTTAGCACCGAGGTGCGAGACGGCACATGTAGATGACAGACCATTGCGGCGGGTCAGGGTCGCTCGCCTTCAGCAGCACCAAAGTTCACAGACCATTGCAAGGAAATGAACTCCGAGCGCAGAGAAAGGATTCATAAAAACAGCTCGTCAAATGTATTTATTCCCACGAAAATGCCTATGACGGGACATGTAAAGTAAACCTGTGGCATTGTATGATTCGACAACTTACGCAAGTGAACTGAAATTAACCTCTGAAATTCCAGCACTGAAATTCTACTCCGGGTTCCGACGGATAACTACAAATGTGGTTATCGGTCAAAGCCTGAGTACACATACCAACATTCCGATACAGTCGTACCCACTGCTCGTTACTGAGCCAGATAGCAGTGACAACTGACAGGCGACAGGATAGGGAGCTCGGCTGATCGAGCCAATGTTGACAGGTCTCAGGCACTGCACAAAATGTCAAGTGCTAGGATTAGGCCACGGTGGACTGGGGACAGGTCGTGGGCGAATATATGTAAGGACAGCGATGGCAGGTCTGGGGGATATAGGAGCGGAGGTACAGGGGTGTGTAAAATGGCTATCTACCAGCAAAATAGGGAATCGTGGGTGCAAGGATAAAGGTGCAAGAACAGAAAAATACAGGATGGAAAGAATTTACGGAAAGATGTTTTCTTACAACTTCGCTGTACACCGGCGTCTTTGCATAAACGAGGGATGATATCGGATAAACTTGATTGCGCTTGCTTTCGTCCTAAACACGAGACCTGACCTTTGGTGACGACCCCGGTGGAGGTCATAACGTATCGTCTCGTTGGCAAACGCCTCGCTATCAGCCGTTCTCAGCATTGTGTTTGGCTGAAGCGGAAGAAAACTGGAAATGGCCTAAGATGCAAAGCCGGTCGCGACAGAAAACCCTCGTGCACCCAGTCGCCAAACGGGTGGTCGCGTCCCCATGTCCGTGATAAAGCGGTGCCAGATAACCCGGGAGATAACAAAACGGCTCGCAGCGGTCTGGGTATCCGGTCTCAAATTGCACGGCTGCACATATCTTCGCAAAAAAAGAAAACCAAATCGTACAAATCCTTCCGGAGACCTAAGCCCAAAAATGAACAAGAGATCGTCGTTCGAATTTCGCCAAGAAGTAAAAAACCAGGACAGGGGACCGGCAGCCGGCGTCGTGGTCATATGAGACATCTTGTTGGCCGACATCTGTCATCCGCCAAACCGGTAGAACAACTGGGTCTGGACTGTTGATACATCATCAGGTTCACCCAACCCAACCACAAGCAGCCGGAACATTAAAAAATATGAGGATTGATGAGCCCACGGCGGGGTCAGAGCTGCATGTAGTTGCCCAAATCGTTAGGGTAAATAGAGAGAATTTCCGGCAGAACCTCCAAAGAGAGAAAAGGGAGATTCTCCGTGTCATCTAGCCAAAAAGCAAAACTGGCAATATAATCCAGCGCGCTTTCATGCCCGTTGCTATGAAAGTCGTCTTCAAGCAAGATAAAAACCCTCCGCACACAGCAAAAAAGGCGCAGGACGGTTGCCTTCACAATCTGCATTCCTGGGCAAAAAACGGTTAGCCTGGGGACAGTTCAGACATCAACCCTAACGAAAATATTTCCAGAGGCCAGAAAATTTCAGGAACAAAAAACAGCTGAGGTTGCGATTTCGCCAGTTCAGGTTCACAGCATGGAGCCGGAATGCCGGAAGATATGCCACGTATCGCAAAAAAGGAAGATGAAGGCCAATGCAATTTCCAAGTTACCCCTATTATACGAAAAAGTATGCTCACGTACGACGCTAGAATAGGACGGCGGCGCGCTGACACAGAAAAGGTAGCGCATAATACCCACAGCCCAGCACCAAAACTTGACAATAACGTGGACCACCAGATAACATTTTCATTCAGAGATAGTTTAAAAAAGAACAATCTAACTACTAACTAAGAACAGATGCACTACCATTTATACGATTGACTACTCCGCAGATAAAACGCGAATGCCACTATCACTCGGTAAGCGACAAACAAGTGACAAACGGTTTGCCTCTCTTTCCAGGCGGGAGAGTTCCGACGCGTCTCCAACCGTTGCATGATCATCTGGATCGCGGCGCTGTGCTTCACCATTATGATGATGCTGAGTATCAGCAGCGTCAGTCGGTGGCCACCTCCGCAGCAGAGGACCAGCGGCGGAGGCATCGCCAGCTGGCTTCAGGCGGCAAAGACGCACGTCCGGTCGCTGGCAGCGCTAGGCGAGGCAGACGACCCGCAGCGCGCTGAGCAGACGTCCAGCAACATCACCAAACCGCCGCTGTATCCATCTGGCTTCCAGCTCTCCAACATCAGCAACTTCACCTTCGTCATCAACAACGACGTGTGTGGCTACGAACCGGTCGACATAGTGATGGTGGTGACTTCAGACACGCGTCGCCCCTCGTGGCGAGGCGAAATCCGCGCTGCGCTGCCGTCAGCCGTACTAGCCGAGCTACGGATGCGACGTGTCTTTCTACTGGCCGAGCTTGCACCGCCGGACAACATCGACCAAATGTACGACCGAAGAGTGGCCGCGTTGCAAGCTGAGAACCACGAGCACGAGGACCTCGTTGTGGGGAGCTTCCGCGACGCCTACCGCAACCTCACCTACAAACATCTGATGGGCCTGCAGTGGGCTACCGCGTACTGTCCACAAGCGCGCTACATCCTCAAGATGGATCACGACATCGTAGCCGACGTATTCCAGTTAGCCCGTCGGCTGGCGGCGCTGCCGGCAGGAATAGCTGACTCAAACACCGTGATCGGTGCTGTGTTCGCGGGCACAGCGCCCATACGCGAGACCGACAATAAGTGGTACGTGTCGAAAGAGGAGTACCCGGAGAACAGCTACCCACCCTACATGTCCGGATGGCTCTACATCATTACCCCAGACGCCGCTAGCAGACTGGTGGCCGCCGGCAATAAGCAGCCCTTCTTCTGGGTGGACGACGCCTTCGTCACGGGGGTGCTGCGGCACCGAGAGGCCCCCGACATCAAAATGATCGACTTTGAACATTTGTGGAAGTTCAGGGAGGGAAATATGTTTTTCAGGTAAGTCATCCGAGCAAGAATCAATAAATCTTATCCAGAAGCCCTTGCCTTCCGTGTGACCTTGTCGATAAGGCGTCCGGCTCCTGACTCGGTGGCGAGTTCGCTATCGGACAGTCCCACATCAAAATCTGATGACCCGCGTTGTTATCCTACTGGCAGCTGGTGAGAAAGGGCTACATTAAACCCGAGAGGACCGTTCTAGCTGCCATAAACTTTAGATCAAAATTGTTCCCGGAAAGCCAGACGCGGGCAAGATCGGGTGATGTGTTAGTGTTGCTATTCGCGGCAAGCACTATTAACCATGGCATCCAGAATTCCAGACCCACGTCCTCCCATCCATCCCTTCATAAAGATGTTACTATAAAAGTTATGAATCGTAGAAAGTCAAAGACGCCTATGCTCTGCGTCATTTTTCTTGTACGAACTATGACCGGTGAACTTATTCCCATAGATATTCGTGTCCACTATGGTAGTTTCACTGACAACTTAATAACGACGTTCTTCTTCGCCCACAGTCCATTCACGATGGAGATAACCTGTGTCTACGAGTGTGCCGCTGAAGCACAGGCATCAGTGTCCCAGTGCAACATGATGGTCGGGCCCGTCTGGGAGAACAGCTTGCTGCTAAGGCTCTTCTACCAGCACGCCCAGTACTGCTACAGGCATGGCTGTACGCCTCGCAGGCCCATGCCACACGCCTGCGCAAACGGCGCAGGGGGCAGTCATCGGGCGAACATGCCGCAAGCACAGCGAGACATCGGTGATGTCACCAGCTAGCGACAGTCATCAGGGAATCATACTGCAGGATAAGCAGTGTATTAGTGCCATGACCGACCAGAGACACTCAGCGGTGTCTAAGACCACCAACCGCCGAAGACGATAAGGAACTAACAACTGCCGATGTCCCCGCTCAACGAGCGGTTCGGAAGGCCGCCACCTCACTGCCACGAAACTGGCAACCATCAGGGACATCCAGAGATCCCGCCAGACCCTTCTGCGGCCGGTAGGTAGCATCGTCTCCCACAGCGGCGCTGCAGCCACCGGGGAGAAAAGAGAGATCAAGTTACCGAGTCAAGTCATTGAAAGATCAAGTTACCGTGTAATGATAGTCAACTGTTCAAAGTACGCGTATTTTTTCATGGACTTCCCGGGGCGAATATTGTGTCAGCGTCACGGTGAAACAGTGAAGCTAACTGTGGTACTGCTGAATCGGGACACTGAAATGGGACAAAGTTGTGTCCCACAGTGATGTTGCACAGTTGTGATGTATAATGCATATGTCATATCACAGATAACAGTAGTACTGTTATCTGTGGTCATATATATGCGTCCGGAACGTGCTATTGCACGTTCAGTGTGATAGTGATATCTTTTGTTTGTAATTTATTGAATAAAGCGTTGTCCAGCTCGCTTTTTGTGCGGGCGGCTGTTGTTTTAATATGTTACATGAGGCGAAAATACGGCAGTGTGAACGATTATTTCAGACACTGGTGTTGAGAAAATGGTGGAGGAGATGGTTGAGAGCAGCAGCTGCAGTGCCCACGAACGAAGCAACAACCCTCAAACCGAGGGCCAAACCAGTATTCCAATCAGTAGCGGATGTTTGGAACCGATGAGCCACAGAAACATCAGAAATAAGACGTCTCAAGTCGATGCAGTCGAGGATCAACACGTACCTAAATGTCATCATCATCATCATCATTTATTTCGTTTGGAACTCCATATTCACGGCTATTCTGTCCAAGTGTCAATACATAAATACATATACGCTGAATGGTAAAGATGTTAAAGGAAAAAAAGTACAGCACGTATGACGTGGTATCACACATTATAAGAGCCTAAAGCGCCTTCCTAAAGCGCCTGCGACACCCAGCAGACGTTTTACTGTCACGCACATCCAGGGCCAGTGAGTTCCAGCGTGCAACGGCGCGGTACCGGAAGAACCGCCGCGCCTGCTCGGTGCGGGGTTTCGGCAGCTGGAGCAGGTCGCTCTCAGTGGCACGAGTCTCTCTACTAGAGACGTCACTGCGGCGCTCGAGCCGCTCCGAGAGACACCTCGGCGCACTGGTATTGTTAACCAAGTAGTGAACAACACCGCAGTCACTCTCCGCCACAAGCTCGTCTATCTGGGGCCACCCGAGCTCCTCCAACAGCGGAGTCACGTGTGCTGAGCGGCGCGCTCCCATAACCACCTGTGCGCAGTGATTAATAACTCGCTGCACGCGGCGACGCTGAACAACGCCACAGCCCGACCAGACCGACAAACAGTAGCGGATGTGGGGGAAGATCAGCATCTCAACGATCAGTTTCTTCACTTCTTTCGGTAAGCATCGCGAAGATTTACACAGTCCTCCTAGTGTGGCGTAGCATCGGCGAATCACCTCCGTCACATGTGACTCAAAGGTCAAGCCAGAGTCGACAATTACACCCAATACCTTAATGCTAGCGGAAGTTTGAATAACATCATCTCCAAACAGTACATTAAAATCAAAGTCAAGCTGCCTCCTACGTGATTTTACAACTAACAGTTCGGTCTTTTTGGGGTTGATTTTTAGGCAGTTTTGAACAAACCAATGACTCGCAATGTCTAAAGTACTTTCGGTATCTGTCTTGAGCTCTAAAATTCGCTTCGGTGATGCTAGATGTAAAAACTGAACGTCATCGGCGTACATCACTATTTTGGAGTCGACATAGGACGCAAGATCGTTTGAAAATAGCAAAAATAAGATCGGTCCCAAAAGTGATCCCTGTATCACGCCGTGGGTGATTGGCTTCACCTCCTCACCACCCCGCACCATCTGGCACCTGTCACTCAACCAGTCACGGAACCAGTGTGCGCTAATACCGTACCAGCCCAGCTTCTCCAGGAGCCGGGGATGCTGGACACTGTCAAAAGCCTTGCTAGTGTCGGCGGTCGTGAGAGAACCGATGAGACCGTCATCCAGACCATCCATGAGAAAACTGACAGTATCCAGCATCGCCGACTCCGTGGATCGGCCGGGCCGGAAGCCGTGCTGCACCTCGGAGAGAATATTGTGCGTGAGCAGGTAAGTCATCAGCTGACCGCAAACAACACTCTCAGCGACCTTAGCGACAGTTGACAGGAGCGACAGCGGACGATAGTTAGACGGGTCATCCATCGAGCCAGACATATGCAACGGTATGACATGAGCCACTTTCCAGTCGGCGGGTAACTTTCCAGACACCAGCGACGAGTTAATGACCTTTAACAGATGCGGGCCTATCACTGGGAAAGTCATGCGCAGCATACCTATCGTGATACCGTCACCACCACTCGCATTAGACGCTGACATACGTTTCACGGCAGCTGACAGCTCTGACAGTGTCACGGGGTGGACGCGGAAAGCGCCGCTGACCACGCGAGGCGGCCGCGGCGGCAGCGGCTCGGTCACGCGCTGCGCCTCCTCCAGCGCGGCGGCCACGCTCGGGCCGACCGACGCGAAGTACTCGTTTAGTCTGTCAGCCCAGCGAGGGCCACTCGGAGATGAAGACGCAGAAGACGCTCCGGCTCTAGGTGAGATGAGGAAGCGTCTGATGTCCTTCCACGTGGTACGGCGCAACCGGCGGTAAGATGTCAGAAGAAGTCTGACTTGGCGCTGATCTGGGCGCTCTTCACTCGGTTCCGACAGAGTCTGTACTGCTGGGCCGCTTGCTCGTCAGCCGGCTGAGCACGTCTCTCAGCGTCGGCCAAGTCACGCTCTCTCATCATGGTCTGCAGCTCGTCGTTTTCGGTGATCCATGGCGCCGGCGAGTGTCTCGGTCTGATCTTCTTCTCAGGCATGTGTCGGTCAATGACCGGCGACCACACCGCCAGCCATGCCTTCCACTTGTCGGCAGGATCAGTGGCGCCGTACACGGCCGACCAGTCGGATAGTAGCAGCTCCAGACAGAGAGCGTCCGGCACCAGGTCTCGCGTGGACCTGATGGTGACCTCCGCGGGACGGCGGCGCTCCCGCTGGAGGGTGGTCTCAGCGATCACCAGATCGTGATCCGACCAGCTGCACGGCTCCACTCTGGTCGCCGTGATGTCATCAGATTGCCGCACTAGGACGTGGTCGATCAGACTTCCGCTAGCCGGTCGAGTTGGACAGCTGACCAGCTGCTTCATGTCCATGGCGCTGATCATCCATGCAGGTAGCGATGAACATCGGCCTTGTCGGGTTTGAGTGTGTCGAAATTGGTGTCTCCGAGCACGAAAACAGGCTTTCCGGTGCAAATAGCGTGCGCCAGCTGGGTCTGGAAGTCCTCAATAGCGGCGGTCACTGGGGCACTCGGTGGGCGGTAAATGACTCCGACTACCACCGTGGTGACGCCGCGCACACTGACCCACAGAGACTCAAGCTGGGAGTCACCGGTCGGTGTCGATAATGTCTCGACTCGCAGCGAGTCCCGGTAGACCACACAGACTCCCCCTCCTCTCGCACGACCGGAGGGCGCAGGGCGGTCACACCGCAGCACCTTATAGCCAGGGAAGATCAAAAAGCTGCTGTCGATATTCTCGTTTAGCCATGTTTCAATAAGACCCAGAATATCGATAGACATCGTTTGCAGAGTGCAGTTCACATCATCTATGGATGGCATTAGCGAGCGCACGTTGAGGTGTGCTATCTTCAGTGTTGACCGGATGGGCTGGCCAGTGTTGGATCTGCTGTCAACCGCCGCTGAGTTCACCGGCCGTCTGCCGGCCCGCTCCGTCTGTTTCACCGAGAGTCGCGGTGGGCAGGAGAGGCAGCGGTAGTGCTGGGCCGTCAGGCGAGCGGGCGAGACCGGACACGGACAGCGTGCACGGGAGCCCGCGGAGCCGTCAGTCCGGCTGGGGTCACGTCTCCCCCTGCTCCGCCGCTCCTGCACCCGGCGGCCAGCTGCGTGTTTCTTTTTTCCAACCAAAGGAAGACGCTATACCCGAAGATGCTTCTTGGTAAACAAACCAAACAAAAACAAACATAACCTAACCTCACCTGACCTAACCTACAACCTACAAACCTACAACCTACAACCTAACCTACAGACCTACAACCTACAAACCTACAACCTACAAACCTACAACCTACAAACCTACAACCTAACCTACAACGCGCCAAAAAGTTCGGCCGGCGGCGGGGATCGAACCCTAGTTATAAGATCGCGAGGCGAGTGTGCTCACCACTACACCACGCAGCCAGCTGGCCGGTGAGAGGTGTAAGTCAGTTTTGAATGACGCAATGGGATATTCTCCGTATAGCGCCTTCCTTTGGGTGGAAAAAAGAATTACGCCGGCCAGCTCGGGCCCCGCGGCGGCGGCCAGCTCGCCGCCCACCGGCGGTCTCAGGACGGCGGCGAACGGCGGCCGCTCTCCCCGGCCCGGCCGCACCCCAGGCCCACGGTCTGGCATCGCCCCTGATCGGGCGCTGCGGCCACAGCCAGAGGGGCGGGTGGCCTTGACCACAGACCAGGTTCGGTAGAATACGGTGAAGGGTGTTGTGCCGCACTGATTGGTGGTCAGTCTTTCCACCTCTTCCCAGACCGGTAGAATGTGGCGCGGCCGGCCAGGGTTCGCGGCCCATATCCAGTGCCGGGCGACAATGTAAACAAACATTGATATGGCTAAAATACTAATGATCGATGGGTAAGTTTCAGCTATGTCCTGAAGTTTCAGCTATTTCTTTTCGCACCGACAACTTTCAGCCTGAATAAAAGTTACCACATGAGAGAAAATAATTCTCTTTGCGGCTTCAACAACGTGTTTCAGAAGTTAGATACAAAACAATTTGAGCATCTTAAGAAACGCCCTCAATATGTATTCTTTAACAAAGCACAACAGCCCGCTGGTAATATTTGTCATCTCAAAAGACAACTGCACACACCCTTCTTCAGTAAAAATTCAGCTTGCTGTGGGAACTGAATTATTCATTTATTCGGTCCAAATATAGGTGGCAGGTGCTTCCGCTGAAGAAGCACGAATGTTCTCTCTCGAAAATTAAGAAATTCAACCAACAAGGAAATCGTTCGGAAATCCCTTCGGGAAATCGAATACCTAGGTGTCTCTGGTTAAAAAGCTATGCAACATAGCTCTAACAGTAAAAACACATTCATTAGGTCTTTTTAGAGGAAAATGATTTTTAAACCATTTAAAAGCCATCAGTACCACATAATCTTTTCCATCTTCTAGCAAGCACAATCATGCCGATATCAATCCTTTAATGCAAAAGCTGCGGTCAGTTGTCACATTACACGGCTCCTTATCAGAATTATGGAAGAATTGACTACGGAACCGCAGCCACCGCTGGCGGCCACAAGACTCCGATCGGTCCGGTTAAATGTGAAAGATGGGATTTCACGTAAGGTAAGCTTTCACTGCTCATGATCCAGCGAGTATCAGGTCAGCCCGTCCGCAACGATCCTAGAGCCCCGTCTGCGGCCCGCCCGCCGTTGACTGCCAGGGACGCGGCACATGGGGACAGACCAACCGACCAGTGACTCCCTTCCCCGAATCGAACTTTAGGGCCGAAGGCCGCCTCAAAATGAGTCGGAATTCATTCGCGTTAAAATATATTAAATGACGACTGAGATAAAGCATCTGTATGATCTGTTACTAGAGTTATCGAGAGATGATCATTATCACGGTCTTCACACAGTCTGGAGATGTCCAGCTAGTCAAAGTAGATCTTACATTAACATGATTTGTGGTATAAGTCACATGTATCAGTAGTCTATAGTATGAAGACTCGAAAGCTAATCGCAAGCCTGTAAGGGCTATCACAAGTCTGGGTCTCAGAGGGCCCATTTCATGCTTGAGAAGGGTTCCTTCGCGCCTAAAATGGCTAAGCTCATTCGAGACTTATTCCTGTCCATAGAGGACCCATCTATATCTAAGGCCTGAGAGTCCAGCTCGTCTGAGAGGTCTGAATGTTTTCATTCAGAGTAAGAAAGGAACATCAGAGAAAAGATAAGATAGGACAAAGAAAAAAGACACCTGCGCTGGTGGCCGAAACCCAATAACACAAATGCTACTTGCAAGAAAACACAGCTCACCGATAACAGCTTGTATTTTTTTCCCAGAGGGCTGGGTTCCGACGAGTCTCTAATCGCTGCATGATCGCCTGGATCGCGGCGCTGTGCTTCACCATTATGATGATGACGAGCATCAGCAGCGTCAGTTCATGGTCGCACACGCGGCAGAGGACCAGCGGCGGAGGCATCGCCAGCTGGCTTCAGGCGGTTAAGACGCACGTCCGGTCGCTGGCAGCGCTAGGGCAGGCGTCCAGCAGCATCACCAAACCTCCGTTATACCCGCCTGGCTTCCAGCTCTCCAACCTCAACAACTTCACCTTCGTCATCAACAACGACGTATGCGGTAACGATCCGGTCGACATAGTGATGGTGGTGACTTCAGACACGCGTCGGCCATCGTGGCGGGCCAAAACTCGCGCAGCACTGCCGTCGTCCGTACTAGCAGAGGTGCGTGTGCGACGCGTATTTCTACTGGCCGAGTTGGCGCCACCGGACAACATCAGCCAAGAGTACGACCAAAGAGTGGCAGCGCTGCAGGCCGAGAACCATGAGTACGAAGACCTCGTTGTAGGAAACTTCCGCGACGCCTACCGCAACCTCACCTTCAAACATCTGATGGGCCTGCACTGGGCTACCGCTTACTGTCCGCAGGCGCGCTTCATTGCCAAGATGGACCATGACATTGTGGTTGATGTATTTCAGCTGACACGTCGGTTGGCTGCGCTTTCCGGCTGGAGTGGCAGACTCGAACACAGCGATAGGAACCGTGTACGGGGGCACAAAGCCCATTCGGGAACCCCCAACCACAAAGTGGTACGTCTCGAAGGAGGAATACCCGGAAGATAGCTTCCCAGACTACATGTCTGGATGGCTATATCTGATCACCCCAGATGCAGCTGCCAAGATCGTAGTCGCTGGTAACAAGCAGCCCTTCTTCTGGGTGGACGATGCCTTCGTCACGGGGGTGCTGCGGCACCGTGAGGGGCTCGACATAAATATGATCGACTATGAACGTTTGTGGATGTTTACGGAAAACGACCAGCGCTTCAGGTATGTTGTCCAATCACTTATAGAAAACGAACCAGTGATTTGTAGCAAGGCAAGGATTCCTTTCATTAGCACTAGAAGTCAGCTTTACTTTCGTAGCTGTTTACATTTCCATATCCCCCAGTGACAACCCGCTAACCAAACGCCGTCCCTGTCCACAGTGCCTTTACCATGGAGATGACTTGCGTCTACGAGTGCGCCGCTGAAGTCCAGGCCTCAGTCTCCCACTGCAACATGATGATCGGACCTGTTGGGGACAACAGCGTGCTGCTGCGACTCTTCTACCAGCACACCCTGTACTGCCACAGACATGGCTGTACGCTACGCAGTCCCCAGCCACACGCCTGCGCTCACCACAGCTGGGGTAGCAAGCGTGTGAACATGCCCAGAGACGAAGAAGACCTTGGTGACGTCACCAGCTAGCGAGTCGCCAGCAGATCATGCTGCAGACCCAGCAGAATGTTGTTGGCATTGCCGAACTTGAGCCGCTAACGGCGTCGAGCCAGCGACTATCCATTGTCCCGGCTGAGCGAGCGGTAGGGACGGTCACCAGCCCGCTGCCAAGAAAATGGCAGCGACCGTACGTGGAGAACTGTAGGGGGATGTGGGTGTTCGGGCAATGCCAAGCCATCGCCCCAGTGCGCCTACTTGGCTTTGGGTCGCAGCAGACGGCCGAAGTCTAGGTCACCCACGCTGGGCGGCAGAGTTGCGGTGCTCGAGCACCCACAGCTCCTCACAACGCTCCACGTATGGCAGCCACCGGGGAGTGGACAAATAACGCGGGTCTATAGAAATCCCATCAAACCCTTCCTCAGCCGCGGCCATCGTCCACCGCAGGACCGCAAGGAGAGAAGAGAAGCATAATCGATTGTTCAATCCGCACGCAGTTTTGCCTGATCCAAGAAGTACAGGGTGGACCAAAAAGGATGGAAACATTTTAAACTCGCATAAAATATGTGTTATTGCATGCAGGTGACTGAAAATGATACCAAACGAGAGTACATTTCGTGGAAATTCATAATGACATCTCTCTCATCTGCTTTCTCTCGTTTTCAGTCTCTCACAGCAAATGTTCGAAGAGGCCACCTTTGCGAGACAGGCAAAGAGCGGCCCGCCTGGCTGCTGACGCGATAGCCCGATGACACATGTCCTCTGGTATGACTCGCACAGCCTTGGTGATCGCTCTCTTCAGATAACAGAGGCCTACATAACCTTCCTTGTAGACCTAGCCCTTGAGATGACTCCACAGGAAAGGAATCCATAGGTCAGATGAGAAGACCGACAGGCCAGTTCCACTTCAGTTCGAGGATGGGAGCGACAACACCGTGGCTGACGACCAAAAGCGCTACCAAGCGACGCTAAAGAAGTTGTTGAAGTGAGCCCAAACGAAGTATGGCAGTCTCGTGGACCTCATGTGATTCCAGCCAGACGGCGCACCATCTCACATCGCGAAACAACGCTCAAGTGGAGCGAGACCCACTTTGGTGACCGGCTGATATCCCGCAGTGCCTGTCGGAACTGGCCTGTCTGATCACCTGACCTGACCCCGATGGCTTTTTTCCTGTGGGGTCATCTCAAGGCAAGGGAGGCCCTAAAGGTATCTGTTACCTGAAGAGAGTGATCACCAAGGCTGTGCGAGCCAAACCAGCGGACATGTGTCATCGGGGTATCGCGTCAGCAGCCAGGCGGACCGCTCTTTGCCTGTCTCGCAAAAGTGGCCTCTTCGAACACTTGCTGTGGGAGACTGAAAACGAAAGAAAACAGATGAGAGAGATGTCATTATGAATTTCCACGAAATGCACTCTCGTTTGGTATCATTTTCAGTCACCTGAAGGCAATAACACATATTTTATGCGAGTTCAAAATGTTTCCATCCTTTTTGGTCCACCCTGTATGTGGGCACCATAGTGAGGCACTGAAGCTGACTGTCTAACTGTTGAATAAGGGACATAGAAGTCTCCCACAATTATGTTCATTGTTCAATGTCAGTTAGGTGTCGCAGGCGGTAGTGTGCTATTGCACGCCATACTGATCAATGTGATATCTTTTCCGCTTTTCATTGAATACAGAGCCACGTATCTCGCCCGCAGAGCGAGGTACGGTTGTTGTTTTTTTTGTGCGTATGAGTGTGAAAGGTGTCCGAGAGCATGAGCGACACACAGATAGGTACCCAAAGTTGGAGAAGGATGAGCGGAGTACTGCTGCAGTACGAACAAAGTAACGAGCCCACGGGCTTTTGGCAATCCTGTGGCCTGCGGGAGGATGGTAGGAATAGATGATCCACGAAACCTATCTACATCGTTAACATACATAGCTGAGGAGGATCAGGCCCGCTATAAGCCTTCAGAAACAAAAACAAAAAGTGTAGAGGCATCATTAAACAGCAGTCAGACAATCTTTGTATTCAATTACAGCTGTATTTTGTATGTTTGTATGAACACTGAACTGTATGTTTGAATTTCCTAATCAGCCCAACCGGGTGCTGTAGAGAACAGTGCCAGTGCAAAGCCCACTTCTTTTCATGGACGGCTAGGCCGGTCGCGCTCATACGTTGGTGCACTGAGGGGCGGATTAGAGAGAGATGTGAATATTTAATTCTGCAGAGAGGGTGTCAACCACGGCGTAAATCGCCAATGCGCACCCCAAATTATGGTCCGAGAAGCAGTCGACAAATTTTGGAGTCTGAAAGCATCTTTCTTTAATCAGAGCCACGTATCTCACCCGCAGAGCAAGTTACGGCAGTTCTTACTGCAAAAACTTGGAAAAATGTCTGAAAGCATCTTAATCGAAGAAAGGCTAGCCTAAACGTCGCGTGCATATGCACTTGACAAACAAATCGAGGCACCAAGCGCACCAAGAATGCCAAGAATGAGCAGCTTACCGCCTTGAGCTTACCACGATCTATGGCGAGATTTGACGCGGCAGAATGACGTTGTTAGGATGTTAGCCAGGGCCTTGTTATAAGACTAGCCCTATAGCAAGGCCTTGGCTATAATCAAAGCTTGAAAAGTAAAATAACATGAGCCAAATGGCAAGGTAGAAATGTTAGGTAGCTCTTCCTTCATTCGCATTTTGGAATGTTGATTAATCAGAGAAGCAAAGCTGATCAGTTAAATATAAAGTAAGCATTATTTGCAAGTTGCTCATGAATAATTTACTCACACTTGACATATATAATGCTACATAAGCGACGAGCTCACCACAGCCAAGGAGCATGGTGAATATCATCAGCAAACGCAAGGTAGGTAAGGGATAAAGTTACAAAGAGAGGAGGATGCAATTTGCAAACTCGGCATAAGTTTGTTGGTAATATAATCAACCGATAGCATACAGTAACACTAAACTAAAACAAAAAGCATCGTGCAAAACGATCGAACTCAAACTGTTGTTCGAAAGGTCATTCAATATAAAAATATCAAGTACTTATTTTCCATCGTAGCTCTTTCGTATTTTATCTGAGAGCAACGAAGTAAAGTGCGGCAGATGGTTGACGAGCCACCGCACTGTTCGCAGCGGCGAATCTCCAACCGCTGGATGCTGTCCGGGATCGTCGCGCTATCCCTCACCATCGCGGGGATGACGGTCGTCACCAGCGTCATCCAGCAGCCGGCAGCACGACACGAGGCCGCTGCCAACAGCTCCAGCTGGCTACAGGACGCAGAAGAGCACGTCCGGCTGCTGGCTAGGCGTGCCAACGTAACCCATCCACCTCACCCGCGGATTAACCGTCGGCCGAGCATCGCAGACGACAGTTCACAGCTGTGGCCGAGAGACGCCAGCTACGCAGCCGATCGCCTGCGTAGGCGGAAGTCAGCCGGCAGTCTCAACATCACCAAGCCGCCGCTGTACCCGAATGGCACCCAGCTCTCCAACCTCAGCGATTTCACCTTCGTCATCAACAACGACGTGTGTGGCTATGAAAAGGTTGACATAGTGATGGTGGTGACGTCGGACACGCGTCAGCCTTCATGGCGAGCCGAAGTTCGTGCCGCGCTGCCCTCGGCCATACTAGAGGAGTTGCGCATGCGACGCGTCTTTCTTCTGGCCCAGCTGGCTCCGCCGGCTGACAGCCGTATGTACGACCATCGGATGGCTGCTATACAGGCCGAAAACTACGCGTACGCTGACATCGTCGTCGGCAACTTCCTCGACACCTACCGCAACCTAACCTACAAGCATCTGATGGGCCTGCGCTGGGCCAGCGACTACTGTCCGCAGGCGCGCTTCATCCTCAAGATGGACCACGACACCGTCGTCGATGTGTTCCGACTGACCCGGCGACTGGAGGAGCTGCCCGAGGGCACAGTCGGCTCCGACGCCCTTCTAGGCGTGACCTACGCCGGCAGCCAGCCGATTCGCAATCCTAACAGCAAGTGGTACGTCTCGGAGCTGGAGTACCCGGAGAGCACCTACCCCTACTACATGTCCGGATGGCTCTATCTGATCACGCCAAGCGCCGCTGCCAGGCTCGTGGCCGCCAGCAGTAACCAGCCCTTCTTCTGGGTGGACGACGCCTTCGTCACGGGGGTGCTGCGTCAGCATGAAGCACCCGACATCCAAATGCTCGACTTTGAAACCCTGTGGCTCTATATTGATGAAGATGGCAAAGGCTACAGGTAAGCTTCTTGAGCAGGGATCTCAAGGGAGTCGGGTATTGCACTGCGGCAATTGCAGCTCTTCGATAGGGCATATTGCTTGACACGACGGGGATTACCTTCCTGAATTTACAGTCCGTTATCTTCAGAATCCTTTATATCCCACAAATTGCCATAGTTGCTCTAGCATTATCCATGTCTAAGGGTATATGCACTGTGCAGTGTGCAATCTCCCGTAGTCGATTAATTCTTCAACTGAATCCTACGTACATTTTGTGCAAGCCCATTTATCAAGACAATTAAGTTGTAAACAATTAACAAGTCGATCCATGTTTGTACCAGATCATTCGCTAAAGCGTGCTTGGGGAGGGGGAGCGCTTCGCTATGATAACGCAGTACGATAAAGTCGGAAATTAAGCATAAAAACGTCATCTGAAAGTGGAAGAACGAAAAACGTTCATGTCAGCAATGCAGTTACCAAGTGCTATCTAGCATATGTGGCAGAATGTCTTCCTCTACTGAGTTATACAGACTATCGACGACTCACTGAGTGCAATGTTTTTTTTTTGTCCACAGCCCGATGACAATGTACCTGGCCTGCGTCTACGAGTGCGTCTCTGACGAGCAGGCCTCGGTGTCCCAGTGCCCGGTGATGATTGGGCCCGTCTGGATGAACCCGGTCGTGATGCGTCTGTTCTACGGGCACGCGCAGCACTGCCACACTCACGGCTGTGCGCTCCGCAAACGGATACCGGTTTCCTGCGCCAACGGATGGGAAGGCTACGAACGGCGTAACATGCCAGAGAAGTTCAGCGATATTGGCGATGTCACCGATGCAACCAACAGATGACAATGGCTGACGTTGTTGTACGGGCTGTGGGCATGTTATACCGCCGTGCGGAGCTTTGGTGTGGTCGTGGTAATCGGACATGAAGAAGCCGAACGGGGAATGACCTGTGACATGTTGTTTCCCGTCGCCCGAAACCTGTCTCAGTCGAGACCCCATGAAGTAAGGCTAACAAGGTTACAAGCTGTCAGTCTGAAAAAAACAGACTCGCACAACAGTCAAAAGAGGACTGATGATCACCCCCAGGCAGTCGACAATGTCACCAGCTCACAAGACCGCTGTCCTATGACCGACCCAGCCAGCGACGAGCGCGCTGGAATCCGCTGGGGGTGTTCCATGCCACCTGACATCTTTACACCTTTTTGCACTCAAAATAGGCATCTTTTCATTCAATTTCGGCGAATTGCATTCAATTTTAGCGATCTCTCATTTGCTTCGAATAGAGAGATCGCTAAAATTGAATGCAATTCGCCGAAATTGAATGAAAAGATGCCTATTTTGAGTGCAAAAAGGTGTATTTTCCAAGTGTTCAGGAAAGTGGAGACGGATGGAGCGGACCGTCGCAGGCAAAGCCGACATCGGCTCAGATAATCGTTAGATCAGCTCAAAGTCGTGTAATTTGCTTTGTTTTTAGAGCCGCAGAGCTGGGTCCAGCGACACCTATTCGTGAATATGGAGAGCTGCGCCTGTTTTAGTGACCGATATAACGGCGGGGTTAATCACAGACACCTGTACATCAGAGGTCAGCTGGATATGTGTCAGTGTATGGGAGAGAGCATCCCGGTACGAGTGTAGTCAGTCAGGTAAAGTTACGCAGAGATGAGAGATGTAACGACAGCGGGGTGGGCCCGTGGCCGTGTCGTCACCGCCGCGCGGCGGAACTCACCTCGTTCATGGTGGCCTCCCGCTCGGCAGGGTTGTAGACGCACGTAAACAGCTGAATGCGGTTAATGTCGCCCATCACGTTGGTCTTGTCCGGCGTCTGCTGCACCTTCAGACGAATCTCGTTCTGCGGAAATAGGCCGCTCAGTCAGTGAAAGATGCCTAGATAACGATGGAGGGGAAGCACGCCAAGCTCGTACAACACCGCACGCGCAAAGCACACTTCACAAAGCGAGGGTGTTTATCACACCGGTATCAATGAGTGTATTATCATCTATGTCACTAACTGAATAAAATGAGCTTTGCTGGATCACATTCGCAGCTGCAAAGACAGGTTAAACAGGGCATGGACAATGGTCATAGTAACTTCACTCTTCGAGCTATACCCGTGCTTCTAGCGATTTAGCAGATGCATTCCAGAAACCATCTAAGTCCCCCTCGTCCACTCACATCGAACACCACAGCGCGTGTGTTGATGTCGGTCAGATCCTCCACCAGGGCGATGTCGGGCCTATCCACCGTCAGCTGCAGTGTAAGCATGCCGGCCGCCGCCGCCCCAGCCGCAGTCGAGTCGCCAGTGGAGGCGGGTGTGGGTTTACGAGGCGCCTCCAGCGTGGTGGGCCGCTGGGGCTTCCCGGTCGCCCTGAGGGACAATAAGATAAATAACGATCAGTTAAATAGCGACGGCTGTAGGATGACGCACCTCACAAGAACCATCCAAGCAACGGAGGAGACTGATAGCTCACAATGGAAATGAGCGAGCTGATGCCACGCCGCCACCTTTCTCCCAGTGATTAAAGGAAATAGTTCACATTTTAACATGGGTTTTGAACTGGAATAGCAGTTCCGTAGCTTGGGCTGAGACGAGCATAAATCAGGAGCTTTTACAGCCCAACGATCACCCTACGCAAAGATATTCTATTTCTCGTCCCGAAAAAGGTGCCTTGCGTTGAGGATGTGTGCCTTGCATATATTTGCATCCAGTATGAAACGAGCATGGGTCCCGAAAATTCTTCAGAAACTAGAGAAATTATCTACGAGAACTCTAGAGAAATTCTCGTACTGATCAATAAGGACATTCAGGGGAACATTATCGCCCTTGCCAGTAAAACTAGTAAAAGGGCTAACTTTGCATGGTTCTTTAATCTTTAATGCATTATTTCACGCACTGGCGGATCCAGGGTTTCAGCGCGGGGGGGGGGGGCATACCAGGTCACGGAGCCAAACCTTCTCCTAGGGTACCCCCAAATCCTGTCTTCTCATCGGATTTAGGCCACTTATTTTTCGTCATAGCCCTGATACGATAGTTTTTTTTCTTAAAAAAACAAATGGTAGGCCACCTGGGCCCTGTTTCACCGGTAATAGCAACACGCTGCTATTACACGTGGGGCGTTCCACGACAAATCGACAAATAAAAAATTAAATTTGCACCCTCATATTTTATTTTTCGTTGAAAACTGGTGTAAGGGGTTGTGATGGGCGGGGAAGCCAGCTGTGACAAGGATTTTTTCTTCGAACAACGGTTTCCGAGATATAGCCTCGTGCAATTCCAGCAGGTCGCGCTGCAGCCCTATGTTTGGCGACTCAGAAACTATTGGTTTTCTACGATAAAAACTTTATATGGTTCAACTCACAATCAGCCAACAAACATTTTGGCTATCTCGCATTTTCAATTTTTGAAAATTTTGATCACGTGACCTTTTGACCTATTTTTCGAAGTGACCTTGCTATTTTCCCCACTGAAAGTTGTAATTTTGTCTGATGACGATTAAAGCCTTATCAATTGTCATTCATATACGAAAATAAAAAAAGTGGATATCGCCCTGCGTTGACCTCAGGTCAGGTAATTTTTATGACCTGTCCATTATTACGAGCGGGAGCGACAGCGAGATCTCGAGAATAAAGCAAGATAGCGACAAGCGGTAAACGGTGCAGGGTACAAATGGATAAGGTCTATAATTTTTACTGAGGTCATTTTCAGGTCAGGTCAAAGATGACGTCACACTTGCCGGCCTATCTTGCCGGCCCTCACTTGCCGGCCTATCTTCAGGAGCCCTGTGGAGTCCTTATAGATCGGCATGGGACTCTCAGGCGTCGCTGCAGCGACGCCTGAGGGCTCTCATGGGAGGACTCCCTGGGAGCCCTCAGAGTCACCAGTGTGGGGCCCACAGAGTTGCACGGGCCCATAAGGCACCATGCATCTAATGAGGCGGCACGCGCCCCTTGTGTCCCCCCCCCCCCCCCGCTTACGCTGCGCTGGCTGCGGCCATACAGGTAAATCGTATTCTAACCGTCCCTATTCCCAAGCATAGGCGGCGGCCGATTCCTGGCTTGCGCAATATGACTGCCGTCGTTACGCAATACGGTCAATAGGGTTGAAGCGGCATTGCTCCCTTGTGGTAAGAAGCAACATATTTTTAGACAAAATAAAGGCAATGACAACTAAATTGAGGTTACTAAAACGACTCTGATCACAAAAGTACCTAGTTACTAGGAAGGCTTTCTAATCAATTTTTATTTAGTTCCTCGTTATAGGCGTAAGAAGTGTAAGTCTGAATGGGGGGGGCATACTTGTACTGAATGCCCCTCAGGCTCCTGTCCGGGGGGCATATGCCCTTAACCTATTAATTTGAGGACTCGTTTTAGGGCCTTGGGCGGGCGGGCGGGCGGATGGGGTCTGGGGAGACAGATAGACGGACGGACGAACATACGGAGAGACGGATGGACGGACGGATGAATGGACGGACTGAGAAACGGAAGGGCGGACGGACGGGTAGAGAGAGAGAGAGAGAGAGAGAGAGAGAGAGAGAGAGAGAGAGAGAGAGAGAGAGAGAGAGAGAGAGAGAGAGAGAGAGAGAGAGAGAGAGAGAGAGAGAGAGAGAGAGAGAGAGAGAGAGAGAGAGAGAGAGAGAGAGAGAGAGAGAGAGAGAGAGAGAGAGAGAGAGAGAGAGAGAGAGAGAGAGAGAGAGAGAGAGAGAGAGAGAGAGAGAGAGGAGAGAGAGAGAGAGAGAGAGAGAGAGAGAGAGAGAGAGAGAGAGAGAGAGAGAGAGAGAGAGAGAGAGAGAGAGAGAGAGAGAGAGAGAGAGAGAGAGAGAGAGAGAGAGAGAGAGAGAGAGAGAGAGAGAGAGAGAGAGAGAGGAGAGAGAGAGAGAGAGAGAGAGAGAGAGAGAGAGAGAGAGAGAGAGAGAGAGAGAGAGAGAGAGAGAGAGAGAGAGAGAGAGAGAGAGAGAGAGAGAGAGAGAGAGAGAGAGAGAGAGAGAGAGAGAGAGAGAGAGAGAGAGAGAGAGAGAGAGAGAGAGAGAGAGAGAGAGAGAGAGAGAGAGAGAGAGAGAGAGAGAGAGAGAGAGAGAGAGAGAGAGAGAGAGAGGAGAGAGAGAGAGAGAGAGAGAGAGAGAGAGAGAGAGAGAGAGAGAGAGAGAGAGAGAGAGAGAGAGAGAGAGAGAGAGAGAGAGAGAGAGAGAGAGAGAGAGAGAGAGAGAGAGAGAGAGAGAGAGAGAGAGAGAGAGAGAGAGAGAGAGAGAGAGAGAGAGAGAGAGAGAGAGAGAGAGAGAGAGAGAGAGAGAGAGAGAGAGAGAGAGAGAGAGAGAGAGAGAGAGAGAGAGAGAGAGAGAGAGAGAGAGAGAGAGAGAGAGAGAGAGAGAGAGAGAGAGAGAGAGAGAGAGAGAGAGAGAGAGAGAGAGAGAGAGAGGAGAGAGAGAGAGAGAGAGAGAGAGAGAGAGAGAGAGAGAGAGAGAGAGAGAGAGAGAGAGAGAGAGAGAGAGAGAGAGAGAGAGAGAGAGAGAGAGAGAGAGAGAGAGAGAGAGAGAGAGAGAGAGAGAGAGAGGAGAGAGAGAGAGAGAGAGAGAGAGAGAGAGAGAGAGAGAGAGAGAGAGAGAGAGAGAGAGAGAGAGAGAGAGAGAGAGAGAGAGAGAGAGAGAGAGAGAGAGAGAGAGAGAGAGAGAGAGAGAGAGAGAGAGAGAGAGAGAGAGAGAGAGAGAGAGAGAGAGAGAGAGAGAGAGAGAGAGAGAGAGAGAGAGAGAGAAAGGAGGATAAGACTAATGAAGGAAAAGGAAAAGACTAACAGAGATTTCAGGGAGGACGGCAAGGAGACTGATACCTACAGAGAGGAACAGTAGCGGCGGAACACCTTCAATTAAGGGGGGGGGGCACTGCCAACTTTTGGTCCCATTCTTTCCATGCAACGCCCATAGGGCTAATGTTAAAATGCCAAAATCAAAGGGGGGGACGGTGCCCCGGTGCCCTCCCCGTTCCGCCGCCTATGGAGAGGAAAGATGAGTGAGCAAGGGATTTGAGAGATAGGTAAAGAGACAGGGGAGAAATGAGATTTTATTGTTTCGCTCCTAATAACACTTCCTAAAATAAAATATAATTGGCCGTAATTATCGAATAAGAATCGGAAATTGTCAATTGAACGTCTGATTCGCTTACATTAATCGACAATCCGCCCTATACCATGTTTGACATGTTTGCAGTTTGCACCAAAGCCAGCTTGCAGGCTATAGCCTATACATCGAGGCAGTGGTATATACTATACATCCCGGTGAATTCCTGCATATAGCCGAGACCTCCGGCGGTATTTTCCCACGATCAGCCGGATTTCAAAGTCGTGTATTTTTCGTCCATGGCAGGCGGCCGGCGCAATCTCGGGGAAAGAGGCGCTCCAGTAACAAAAGCATGAGCAGATCGCCCAAATGCCGGTGGCCGCGATAATTTCTCTAGCTTCTGAAGAATTTTCGGGACCCATGCTCTTTTCATACTGGATCGCGTGTGCCTTACAGAAACTGAAAAGTTCTTCCTATATCAAAAATATAGAAAATTATTTTTTGTTATATAAAAGGTTTTATTTTCTTTGCTGATCATTTTGAACATAAAAAATCATAAATCCATTGCAAAAAAAAAAATAATTTCGTGAAAGTGAACTATTTCCTTTAAAGTGCGACGGTAGAGGAGTTATAGAGCCGCAGTCCACTCACGGTTTGGCGGCGACCGCCGGAGGGCCGGCGTGCCGCTTGTCCTGCTGCTGCGGCTCCGGCATATTCTTTGTGAAGAACTCCATCAGCATCATCAGGTAGGGCAGGAACAGGATCAGAGACACGCTCGACACGCGTGCCTGAACTGTGGACGGCGAAACGACGCGGATCAGTGGGGCTCACTCGGTGGTTGCGATGGCGTGTTAAAAGTTATTGAGGGTATGCAACTCCACGGATGGCGAGCAAAAGGATAAAAAAGAGATCTGGTGAAACACATTTCCGATGCCTTCAACCAACACAGACAGCACGGGGCCAGCCGAGTTGTCTCGAAAACACCACGTAC